GGCATGGTGGTGCATGCCTGTAGTACCAGCTACTCAGGAGGCTGAGGCAGGAGAATCACTCAAACCATGGAGGCAGAGGTTGCAGTGAGCCAAGATCATGCCACCACACTCCAGCCTGGTGACAGAGCAAGATTCCATCTTAAAAAAATAAAAAATAAAATTTACGGTGAGAGATTCTGTTCTTTCAAATTGAGTGACGGGAGATAGTAGTGTGATATTTCTTTTTACTGGCTGTACCTGGTAGAAATAAAAAATCAGGCCAGGCATGGTAGCTCAGGAGGTCAAGAGATTGAGACCATCCTGGCCAACATTGTGAAACCCTGTCTCTACTAAAAATACAAAAATTAGCTGGGTGCGGTGGCACGTACCTGTAAACCGGGTACTCAGGAAGCTGGCACAGGAGAATCACTTGAACCCAGGAGACAGAGCATGCAGTGAGCTGAGATTACCCCACTGCACTCCAGACTGGTGACAGAGCGAGAAGACTCCATCTCAAAAAAAAAAAAAAAAAAAAAAAATCAGCATTTCTATTGTAGCCTCCTAATTCTGGGGAAATATTTCTTTAGAAATCTAAAAGTCTGGCCTTTTACATACTTATGACCCCAAAATAATAGGGGACTTTACACACGGATAACACATGCCCCTCAAGATTGTCTCTTTAACCTCTACCCTATTGTGTTTGGAGTAGGACATTTGGGGTTGTGAAATGAGAATCAAGTTGAGTGTAAGCCATCCAAAACCATGAGCTGACACTGGGTCCTGGAAGACGACTTTCTTCAGAACCTTTTACATCTGTTTACTTTTCTCTGGGCTCAAACCTTTTTTCTTTCTTTTTTGAGATGAAGTTTTGCTGTTGTTGCCCTGGCTAGAGTGCAGTGGTGTGATTTTGACTCACCACGCCCTCCGCCTCCCTGGTTGAAGTCATTCTCCTGCCTCAGCTTCTGAAGTAGCTGAGATTACAGGTATGCACCACCACACCCAGCTAATTTTGTATTTTTAGTAGAGACAGGGTTTCTCCATGTTGGTCAGCCTGGTCTGAGGTCTCCTGACCTCAGATGATAGACCTGCCTCGGCCTCCCAAAGTGCTAGGATTACAGGCGTGAGCCAGGTGGCTTCAACCTTTCTTATTTATTTGAGACAGAATTTCGCTCTTGTTGTCCAGACTAGAGTGCAATGGTGTAATCTCGGCTCACTGCAACCGCCATCTCCTGGGTTCCAGCAATTCTCCTGCCTCAGCCTCCCGAGTAGCTGGGATTACAGGCATGCACCACCAAGCCCACCCATCTAATTTTGTATTTTTAGTAAAGATGGGGTTTCTCCATGTTGGTCAAGCTGGTCTTGAACTCCTGACCTCAGGTGATCTGCTGCCGCGGTCTCCCAAAGTCCTGGTATTACAAGCATGAGCCACCACACCCAGCCTGGGCTCAAACTTTCTTAAGGGTCACATCTTTGAGTAGGACTACTACATGGCAATCACCACTCAAAAGAAACTAACTTGAGGTGTCCAATAATCAGCTTTCGTTTAAGTCTCTCAGCTTGACAAAATAAAGACTTTCAAAGTTTGTCTACCTACTTCCAAAAGAAATTTAGTCTGCATATGTATATATATATATGTGATTATATATGTATATATACATATGTGATTTTGATCAGCCTCATTTCCAAAATAAGTTAACCTGTAAATTCATTTATTAAATGAGTATTTCATAAACTACTTGATTTTTCTAAGTAGTTTATAAACAGGTTGATCAAACCGAACAAGTTTCTTAAAATAATTTTACTGTATAGAGAGCAAGTAAGTTAGTTACTCTTCTTAGCATATCTTATTTTTACCTTTAACAAGCGTCTAAGTTAAACTGTTTTATGTCCACAGCTACACACCGAAACAGCACTTTGTCACAACACACTAAATTGAAATGGAAACTGTGAAGAGATCCAGTTACCTCGAGTCCTACATGTACCTACACATACTTTTAATGTACTTATTGATGTTTTATGATGCACACGTGCAGCTCCTGCAGGACATATCACTATGAGAACATTTGGAGCGTATGCTTATTAAATGGTTCAAAACTTTTTTTTTTTTTAAAGTCAATTTTAAGAACTTAAGCATACAGTAAAGCACTCCTTCCATGCCCCAATGTTAAAAGGTCCGTTTATTTTAGACTACTTGTGTAGGGCTGTTGGGGCCCCACAGCTTTGTGGGGTGTCCCTTATGCTGTGTTGAGGTACAGGATCAGAGAAGTAAAGAGACAGGACACTGAAGAACTGGTGAAGAGCATCTGGACTTGGGGGCCCATGCCACTTGTGAGTGGAGATCAGTGATGGCCCCAAATGCCCATGAGCATGTGTATTTATTAGGTATAAGCAGGGGGCAGGGTCACAAGCGAAGTCATCATCTATAGGCTTAGTAATGGGCATACATAATCACGTGAGTCACAAGCCAGGAGTCCACCCCATTATGTCACCTGGACAAAGGGGTGGGCTGTGCGTAGCAGGGTACCCTGCACAGTAGTGGAGGGTCATGTGCAGAAAAGGGGTCCACCCCCCCATTAGGTCACCGAGGCAAGGAGGTGGGCTGTGTGCAACAGGTGTCACGCACAACACTGCTTATCTGGGGACTGGAGACTTCAAAAGATTTCTAATAGAAGGATATTGTAAATTACATGCAGTAGGAGCTGACAGACTTGTGCTCTTCTCTTAAAATATTTATGGGAGGATGATTCGAGCTAGCACAGAAGCAAGAAAAGACTGACAGGGTGTACAGCCGCTGTGACTGGTCACACCAGGGGGGTTCTTCTCCCTCGATTACTTCCAGGATCTCAGGCCTCAGGCCTACTTTCCACAGGAACTGGATGCAGGTGCTACAACTCCTTAATCAGGAGGAGAGGCTCTTGCTCCAAGCCTGCCATACAGCAGTCCCATGCCATTTCAGGCAGGGACGCCACCGCCTGGGTCTTTGGTTCTTGTCCTTACTGCTTCTGTTCTGTGACTGCTCTAGGCATTCCTCCTCCTACAAACTAGTGTATGGTTATATAGAAGGATGATATAAATCAGCACTGAATGTGTCAGTACAGCTCCGACTACAATACCTAGACCATTATATACAAAGATTATATAGGACTAAGTAGATACAAGTATTAAGTATGATTATATAAGCCAGATATATGTAAGCAGTAAGTTACACTTCAAACACTAATTCTATGAACTAATATATGATTACATATGCAGGATTATATAAAGGAAACAGCTGAGCAAGAACACTATAAACTAAGATATTCTTCAGGCACTGCTTGTGCCTGGGGTCTGCACAGTTCTCCTTCCTTAGTGCCCATGGGGGGTGTTGCCCACATACTTGTTTCAAAAAAAAAAGTCTACAATTGGTAATAATTCTGCTTAAATTCCATATCAACCTCAGATGAAAAGTTATTTTTAGCTCTTGTTTCTTAAATACAAGAAACGTGCTGCTGCATCATGTTTTCCTTATTTATTCAATCAACTAACTTCAGGTGGAAGGTACTTATGAGTTTAAAACGCCTTTCCCAAAGTGGAAATAACAAACATTTTGCATAAAAGACACTCTGTGTTTCTCAAAGGGTATCTGAGAGTCTAATCAGCCTATTATCTTGGTTCGGAATAACCACTAACAACAAATGTGAGCTTTTTGTCACATCTATGTAGTTTCCCCTGTAAACGCATTTTAAATGCATTTTCAAAATGTTTCATTTGGCCATGCGATAATTATTTCCCCTGTAAAAAGCTACAGGATTTTGGTTTAAGAGCAAATGAGATAGAGTATCTGGTCCATGAGAAGGCTAAGTGGAAAGATCCACATCCTGAAGTTTGTAACCAACAACAGGACAAACTCCAATGCTACCTTGTTCACGTAATCAACAATATGTGAGTCGAAATAAACTAGTGAGCTGTACATTTCTGTCTCCATACCAATTTACCAATCAACAGCAGGGGAAGAAATTGCTCAAATGTGTTAACAAACATCTCAATATTAGACAGTCTCTATTAAAATCGTAACCTATAAATTCTGAAATCATTCCTTCAACCTCTGTTATGTTTTTAATCCCCCCTAAACTAACCCAAAAAACAAAAAACAGTAGCCATCTTTGAAATGTAAATTCCTCCCCTTTTCAAAGTAACTTGCCTAGGAAAATTTAGTGCATCAAAACAAAACGTAACAGACAAACCAATTACAGTATTAAAAAAAACACTAAAATGATCAGTAACACAAACCAATTGCTCAAGTTTAGCAAAGCGTGTATTTTTAACCTGTCGAGGGTTTTCCTATTACACTAATAAGCAACAGCGTTTAAAAGTCATCCCAATGCCTGAAACACCACCATGCAGGTAACATACTTGTCCTTTTCTCCAATTAAGCTTAAACTCAGACCACTTCCCTCCTGGCACACCGAGATACACGAGGGGAAATCCAAGAAATCAGATATGTTAAGTGCCGCTATCTTCTTCCAGAGTAGGGTCCAATTCGTGTTTGCCCGCAAATGTCACCGTCCTAGGAAGTCTGCAAATTCTGAGTAGCGCTGGAGCACAAAGGAGACACCTGTCCTAGCATCAGAAAGACACCGGGAAATGCAAACCCCACCCCCCCGAGTCTGCGCTGTTCCCAAAGCTTCGGCTGCAGGGATGGGGGGACAAGAGGTGGCCGCTGACCTCGCGGGGGCAGCAGACAGGGTCCCACACCCCAGCCCACCTCCTGAGAACCAGGAAACCAGTCAGGCTGGCCGGGACCCACCCTCCTCAGACCCTCGCTCTCTAGCCCAGCGCGGCACCCGCCCGACCACACCCCGGCCGCTCCGGCCTCCCGTCTGCACTCTGTGACCTCATCCGTCCCTGGCGGCCTCTGGGCCTGCCACCTGCACCTCGAGGCCCGGGCTCAGGCCGTCCCTGGGGCAGGAACACCCAGCCGCCACCCCGTCCGTTCCCCCCGCGGCGCGGTCCCCGCTCCCGGCCCACTCCCCGGTGGCTACCTGGAGGCGAGGGCGGCGAAGCACTTCACCCAGGGCCCCAGGTCGCAGAGGGCCGCGTGCTCGGCGGCCGCTCCTTCTCCCGCTCCGCGCGGTAGGCGTAGGTGGAGAGCGGGATTCCAGCGGGCACAGGCCGTACCAGGGGCACCCGCCCCCACGGCGGCACCAACACTCCCGGGAGGACCAGGAGGAAGGACGCCACCATTTAACCCCTCCAAGCTTCCGCCTCCTTCCGCCGCCCATTGGGCGACGCAGCCACCACACCCCATTGGCTGAGTCGCTTGCTCTGGGCCCAACCGCCCCAAAAGGAGGCGGGCGGAGCAGGGAAGGTGCGCATGGGCACGGAGGGCGGGGGTGGAGCGCGCAGCCGCCGAGGAGGCTGGATTGGCCGGCGGAGACCGAGGCGGCGCACGTGAAGGGCGGGGCCGGGGCGAGGGGCGGGACCGGGAGGGAGGGCCTTGGGGGAGCGGTGGCCCGGAACCTGTAGCAAGGATCCCACTGTGGGTGGCTGGGTGAGCCGTCGGTCCCTCCCTCTGGGATGCCAACCCCTTGCCAGCCTTTTTCCCTTTTTCGTCATCACTTGATATTTCTGACACAATCCAAATCAACTCTGGCCAATGCTTGGGCTCCTGAGCCATCCTCCTATGACCTGATCTTCCCACCACCACCTCCAGGCACTTTGTGTGCAACCTGTGCAAAACCTTTTTTTAATCTGCAAAAGTATGTTTTAAATTTAAAAACTATTTTGAAAAAATGATTTATGGGCCAGGCACAGTGGCTCACGCCTGCAATCCCAACGGTTTGGGAGGCTGAGGCAGGTGGCTCACGCCTGCAATCCCAGCAGTTTGGGAGGCTGAGGCAGGTGGCTCACGCCTGCAATCCCAGCAGTTTGGGAGGCTGAGGCAGGTGGCTCATGCCTGCAATCCCAGCAGTTTGGGAGGCTGAGGCAGGTGGCTCACGCCTGCAATCCCAGCAGTTTGGGAGGCTGAGGCAGGTGGCTCATGCCTGCAATCCCAGCAGTTTGGGAGGCTGAGGCAGGTGGCTCACGCCTGCAATCCCAGCAGTTTGGGAGGCTGAGGCAGGAGGCTCACGCCTGCAATCCCAACGGTTTGGGAGTCTGAGGCAGGTGGCTCACGCCTGCAATCCCAGCAGTTTGGGAGGCTGAGGCAGGTGGCTCACGCCTGCAATCCCAGCAGTTTGGGAGGCTGAGGCCTGCAATCCCAGCAGTTTGGGAGGCTGAGGCCTGCAATCCCAGCAGTTTGGGAGGCTGAGGCAGGTGGCTCACGCCTGCAATCCCAGCAGTTTGGGAGGCTGAGGCAGGTGGCTTACTTGAGGTGAGGAGTTTGAGACTAGCCTGGCCTACATGGTGAACCGCCCTCCCGCCTCTACTAAATAAAATAAAATAAAGGGCCGGGCGCGGTGGCTCAAGCCTGTAATCCCAGCACTTTGGGAGGCCGAGGCGGGTGGATCACGAGGTCGAGAGATCGAGACAATCCTGGTCAACATGGTGAAACCCCGTCTCTACTAAAATACAAAAAATTAGCTGGGCATGGTGGCGCGTGCCTGTAATCCCAGCTACCCAGGAGGCTGAGGCAGGAGAATTGCCTGAACCCAGGAGGCGGAGGTTGCGGTGAGCCGAGATCGCGCCATTGCACTCCAGCCTGGGTAACAAGAGCGAAACTCCGTCTCAAAAAAAAAAAATAAATAAAAAAATAAAAAATAAAAAAATAAAATAAAATAAAATAAAACATCCTGACTCTGCATCCATAATGATTTTCATAAATCTAAGCGGAGTTCTGCAGCTTCCCCTCTTATTGATTCCTTTGAGATCTCTTGTTAACGAGATTTCTTGATCATCTGCCTTCTTTTATGCCTGGGAGTTTTACCCATGTTATTGCAGACAGTGACTGTTATTTTTCATTACTATGTAATAATCCATTATATTAGATATCCCCAATTTTATTTATGCATTCTACTGCTGTTGGACATCTGGCTTATGTTTAGCTATTGCGAATTAAGTTGCTATGAACATTCTATGAATGAATTTTGGTGGATATAAGACCTCATTTCTTACTTTCTTTTTTTTTTTTTAATTGGAGAGACAGTTTTGCTCTTCTTGCCCAGGCTGGAGTGGAATGGCATAATAATGGCTCAGTGCAACCTCTGCCTCCTGGGTTCAAGCAATTCTCCTGCCTCAGTCTCCCAAAGTGCTGGGATTACAGAGCCACCCCGCCCAGCAGCATAAGCCCTCATTTCTATTGGGAATACATCCAGAGTGGAATTGATGAGTGAGATAGCATCGACTACCTGGGTAGATGGTGCCCCTGTCAATTCAGGGGCTCCAAGTGAGACGGTGCAGTGCCTGCAGGCCCATCAAGCATGAACATTAACAAAAAAGCTTGAGTTTCTTCGAGAAAAATTCCAGGCACTTAGCCCTGAAAAGTCACTGAACAACGTGATAGGCAAGAAGGTAAACATAGCCAGCAGCACAAGCAGCGGCCCAAGGCCAGCAAAATGTTAAAAAGGGGTTCATGTATGTCAGAAAATAGTAAGAGAAAGTGTGTGTGTGAGAGAGAGGTGGGAGGTAAAACTAAATAGAAAAAGTGTAAAGAGAAAAGACAGAGAAGCTTTTTCTTTTAAAAACTCAGACGGGGGAGGCCGAGGCGGGTGGATCACGAAGTCAAGAGATTGAGACCATCCTGGTCAACATGGTGAAACCCCGTCTCTACTAAAAATACAAAAAATTAGCTGGGCACGGTGGCGCGTGCTTGTAATCCCAGCTACTTGGGAGGCTGAGGCAGGAGAATTGCCTGAACCCAGGAGGCGGAGGTTGCAGTGAGCCGAGATCGCGCCATTGCACTCCAGCCTGGGTAACAAGAGCGAAACTCCGTCTCAAATAAATAAATAAATAATAAATAATAAAAACTCAGGCGGAACAGCTAAGCCAAAACATGTTTAAAAAGGTTTAAAAAGGAAAATTATAAAGCAAAAGAGGAGGGAATTGTGGGAAGTAGAAGAGTGCCTGTGGGCCCAGCTCCACAGGGGGTTAAGTGGGAGGACTTCTTGAGCCCAGGAGTTCAAGGGTGCAGTGAGCTATGATGGTGCCACTGTACTCCAGCCTGGGTAACAAAGGGAGACCCTGTCTTTTTAATAAAAAATGTTTGGGGCCTGATACAGTGGCTCGTGTCTGTAATCCCAGCACTTTGGGAGGCCAAGGCAGGTGGATCACTTAAGGTCAGGAGGTCGAGACCAGCCTGACCGACATGGTGAAACCCTGCCTCTGCTGATTAGCTGGGAATGGTAGTGCGTGCCTGTGATCCCAGCTGCAGGTGTGGACCACCATGCTTGACTAATTTTCTTTAATTTCATACAGATGGGGTCTGGCTACATTGCCCAGGCTGGTCTCGAACTCCTGTGCTCAGGTAGTGTTGGAAATACATGCTCTGTGCCACAAAGAAAAATTATCACTGAGACAAAGGATCTTTCATCAACGTAAATTGTACTTCCCGGACTGCAGGAAGGGCACTCCCGGTAGCCATTGTGCAGGAGAGTACGATGAACACAGGAGGAACCAGGCCAGCTGATACCAGTTTGGTTACATAACACAAGAGGCAGATGCCAAGGTGAAATTTGATGCGCAAGAGATTTATAGGAAGAAAAAAAAGCCAGTGAAGAATGAAGGAAAGCGGGAGCAAGAATAAGCATGGATGGGCTGGGTGAGGTGGCTCATTCCTATAATCCCAGCACTTTGGGAGGCCAAGGCAGGCAGATCACCCGAGGTCTAGAGTTTGAGACCAGCATGGACAACATGGCAAAACCCCATCTCTACTAAAAATACAAAAATTAGCCTGGCATGGTGATGGGTGCCTGTAATCCCAGCTACTTGGGAGGCTGAGGCAGGAGAATCACTTGAACTCAGGATGGGGAGGTTGCAGTGACCTGGGATCACATCAGTGCATTCCCACCTGGGTGACAGAATGAGCGAGACTCCATCTCAAAAATAATAATGATAAAAAGTAAAAAACAAAAAAAAAATTTAAAGGCATGAATGGACATAGTGGCTCATGCCTATAATCCCAGAACTTTGAGAAGCCAAGGCAGGGGGATCACTTGATGTCAGGAGTTCAAGACCAGCCTGGGCAATATGGCGAGACCCTGTCTCTACAAAAAAAGTAAAATTATTAGCCTGGCATAGTGGTATGCATCTGTAGTCCTAGCTACGGGGGAGGCTGAGGTGGGAGGATTGCTTGAGCCCAGGAGGTGGAGCCTACAATGAGCCATGATTGAGCCACTGTACTCCAAATCCTGTCTAAAAAAAATTAAAAATAAAATAAACAAAACAAATATTCCTGGAGAGCGTACTGGCCACAGTGCAGGTCTGACAACTGTTTGATGCTCTGCAGAGAGCCCAGCAGACTGTCCACGTAGGAGCTGTCGTAAGGCAGGAATGGCCCGAATCTGAAATTCCTGGCATGCAGAGTCATTGGCTGGCACAGGCTGGGAGGAGCATGCCTCAGCATGAAGCCTGTGGTGGGCCCCAGTGTTAGCAGATGGAGTGTCTTGGCCAGCCCGACCTCTTGCAGTAGACTCTCTCTCTTTTTTTTTTTTTTTTTTTTTTTGAGACAAAGTCTCTCTCTGTCACCAAGGCTGGTATGCAGTGGCATGATCTCGGCTCACTGCAACCTCCACCTCCTGGGTTCAAGTGATTCCCCTGCCTCAATCTCCCTAGTAGCTAGACCTACAGGCATGTGCCACTATGCCCAGCTAACTTTTGTATTTTAATAGAGACAGTGTTTCACCATGTTGGCCAGGATGGTATAGATCTCCTGACCTCGTGATCTGCTCACCTCAGCCATCCAAAGTGCCAGGATTACAGGTGTGAGCCACCACACCCAGCCAGTATGCTCTCTTACAGGTGTGCATCTGTAATTCCACCACTTTGGGAGGCTGAGGTGGGCAGTCACTTGAGGTCAGAAGTTTGAGACTGCCCTGGATAACACAGTGAAACCCCATCAGTACTAAAAATACAAAATGAGCCAGGCATAGTGCTGGGTGCCTGTAGTCTGAGCTACTTGGGAGGCTGAGGCAGGTGAATTGCTTGAGGCCAGGAGGCAGAGGTTGCAAGGAGCAGAGATGGCACCACTGCACTCCAGCCTGGGGACAGAGGAAAACTGTCTTTAAGGAAATAAAATAAGGAGATCTAAGTGTGTTCCCACCACCACCACCACCACATTCCCAAAC